AATTCAACTTCATGTTATAATCTCAACTTTTTATCTTATGACATCGTATCTTACAATTACGACTTAGTATGTCATAATGTCAACTTTTTATCTCATAATTATGACTTAGTCTGTCAATTTTCACTTTTTATCTCATAATTCCAACTTCATGTTATAATCACAACTTTTTATCTTGACTTCTTGTCTCACAATTACGACTTAGTATGTCATAATGTCAACTTTTTATCTCGTAATTATGACTTAGTCTGTCATCATGTCAACTTTTTATCTCATAATTATGACTTAGTCTGTCAATTTTCACTTTTTATCTTGACTTCTTGAATTCCAAATTCGTTATAATCACACCTTTTTATGTTATGACTTATCTCACAATTACGACTTAGTATGTCATAATGTCAACTTTTTATCTCATAATTATGACTTAGTCTGTCAATTTTCACTTTTTATCTCACGATTACGACTTAGTATGTCATAATGTCAACTTTTTATCTCGTAATTATGACTTAGTCTGTCATCATGTCAACCTTTTTATCTCATAATGATGACTTAGTCTGTAAATTTTCACTTTTTATCTCATAATTATGACCTAGTCTGTCAATTTTCACTATTTATTTCATAATTCCAACTTCATGTTATAATCACAAGTTTTTATCTTATGACTTCTTGTCTCACAATTACGACTTAGTATGTCATAATGTCAACTTTTTATCTCGTAATTATGACTTAGTCTGTCATCATGTCAACTTTTTATCTCATAATTATGACTTAGTATGCTAGGTTTCGATTTTATGTCATAATTATGACATTTTATATCATAATTCTGACTAGGCTTCAATTTTATGTTGTAGATAGATTTTATAACATAATTATGGCTTTTTAGCTCAAAACTATGACAGTCTGTCAATTTGGACTTTTTATCTCATAATTTCAACTTCATGTTATAATCTCAACTTTTTATCTTGCAATTATGACTTTTTTCTCCTAATTTTTACTTTTTCTCTCAATTACAACTTAGTATGTCATAATTTTTTATTATTATACTTTTTATCTCATAATTATGGTTTAGTATGCTAGGTTTCAATTTGATGTCATAATTGACATTTTATATCAATTTATCTCAAATACGACGTTTTATGTCATAATTATGACTTATCTCAATTTCAACTTCATGTGTTAGCCTATAATCTCAAATTGTATCGTATAATTACTTTTTTCTCATAATGTTTATTTTTTATCTCACAACTTAGTATGTCATAGTTATGACTACGACTAGTTACTGAGTATTTTAGGTTTCAATTATATGTCGTCAGTTATGATATGTTAATTCATAATTATGCCTTATCTAATAATTCTGATTTAGTATGTCAGTTTCGACGTTATCTCTATTAATGTCATAGTTTTCCATTTTTGTCATAATCAACATTGACTTTTTCACAACAAAGAAAATTTTATCATTCAAAAGTTTGGAGTAGGAAAATGTTTTTGAAAGAAATTTCTTCTGCTCATCAAGGCTGCATTTATTTGATAAAAAATACAGTAAAACAGTAATATTGTTCAAATATTATTCAAATTTAAAAGAACTGTCAAGAAACATTTCTGATTATTATCAATGTTGAAAACAGTTGTGCTGCCCAATATTTTTGAGGAAACCGTGATACAATTTCTTTTTCAGGATTTTAGAAAGTTCAAAAGAACAGCATTTATTTGAAATAGAAATCTTTTGGAACATTAGAAATGTCTTTACTGTCACTTTTGATCAATTTAATGCATCCTCACTAAATAAAAGTATTAATTGCTATCAAAAAAACAAACAAAAACAAATCGTCCAACATATGTTTGTTTTCTGGTTGCAGTGTAAAAAGTGGGCAGATCAGAAACCTTGAATCTGCTAAAGTGTCAATGGTTGGACAAGTGAGACGGTAGGATCCGAGCACACATGCGCTCCTCCTCCTCATCACACATCAGTTGGGGCTCACTGAACGAGCGTGTTTCTCTCAGGTGTGAGGTGGAGGAAGGCGATTCGGCCGAGCCGGTGAGTCCGGTGACTGAGAGCGTGGCCGACGGGCACGAGGAGTTTTACGACCTCAACTACGTGACGGAGAAAGCAGAGAGCAGCGCATCAGCAGAGGTGAGCTCCTCAGGACCTCAGCATAAACACTGGCAGTCTGGATATGTACAACGGTAATACTGTGCTATGAACGTTACTGTACCATGCTACCTGTATATACATAATTAGTTGCCTTATATATACACACACTATCACAAATTATTGAATTATGCAAATTAATGCAGATGTATGGAAGCCTATTTCTTTGAAATTGACAATCATATTCAAAATTCTAATAATACCAAATTTTTGTCTCATATTTATCCTTTAGTATGTCATAATTTTGACTTTTTATCTGTTTAAATTTATTATTTTAGATTTTTTAATCTCATAACTTGGGATTATTATTATTAGTAGTTTTTTTGGGGTCAATTACATTTTTTATTTCAGTTTCGACTATCTCAGTATGTCATAATTTTGACTTTCTCAGTTATGATTGTTTACACTCCATTTAATTTTGTCAATTTCAATTTTTAAATCTCATAAATTTGACTATCTCATAATTACAACTGTCATAATCTTGATTCAGTTATGACTGTTTACATGTTTTTTTGTTGTTGTCAATTTCAAAAAAAAATATCTCATAATTTTGGTTTACTCAATTTCAAATTCTTATCTCATAACTATGACTTTAAACTCATAATTTTTTTGTGTCAGTTTAGTTTTTTTTAACCTCATAATTTTTTTGTGTGAATTACAACTTATGCCATAATTGTGACTTTTTTTCAATTATGACGGTTTACACTCAATTTACATTTTTTTATTCATAATTTTGATTTATCTCAATTTCAACTTTTTTTTTTACTTTTTTTTTTTTAAATCTCTATTTTGACTTTTTATCTCATAATTATGTTACTGTACATATTACGGTTTACACTCATAATTCAGATTTTTTTTGTCAATTTTGATTTTAATCTCAGAAATTAGATTAGTAAATTAGATTAGTGTATAATCTCATAATTAAATAATTTTGACTTTAATGACTTTAATAAGTCAGTTATGACATACTATGCCATTTTTCAATTTTCGTCAATGACATTTTATAATCCTTACTTTTTAATGTCATAATTACTATTTGGTAAAGCAGTTACGACTTATCTCATTATTATGATTTGGTATATACATTTTTAAGTCATATTATGACTTTTTATCTCATAATTTTGACTCCTAATTATGACTCATCTCATAATTACGATCTACTAAAGCATGAATTGTTTCTTATGTGGCAGAATGGGCTTCCATAACAACTGAAATACAGCTATTGGTCACACACCCATATTTAACATTTGATAACCTTTGACCAAACAGTGCACGATAAACAACTGAGCGTAATCGATGTGCATGAGCGTGTGTGTGTGTGTGTGTGTGTGTGTGTTTCAGCCGTGCAGTGTGTACAGCTGGAGAATCGACCTGTCTAAAGCAGAGAAATACTGGGACGGCTGGTTCAGAGGGATATCGAACCTCTTTCTGTCCTGCAACGTCCCAAAACTCCTACTGCTGGCAGGCAAGAGACACGGACCAATCAAAGCACTCCTCATGAAACACATGAAAATTAAAAAAAAATACACAGACAAAACAAAACTGCTCAGTTCTGTCCGTTTAATATGAAACGTGTCCTGTGTTCAGGCATTGATCGACTGGACAGAGACCTGACCATTGGACAGATGCAGGGTGAGTCTGATCAATAACTATATCCTATGAGACCAATCATGCACTGAGCTGCATAATCATTTAAAACTCTGACAGAAACATTGAAATCTGCCCCAGCAATCTATATGAATGATTTTAAAGATGCCTCATCCTTTTAATCACGAATGACTGGTCGACCTGCCCAGTACTGAAAAAATAACACGTTCTATGCCCAACAGTGTTTACACCTGAATAATGGCAGACATAGTAATATGCTCCTATGCTATTCTCTATTTATTCTTTTCTATGGCTTCTGTAGGTAAATTCATGATGCAGGTGCTGCCCCCTTGTGGACATGCAGTGCATGAGGACATCCCAGATAAAGTAAGAGCATATATACATTTCTATTCAAAAGCTTGTGATCACTGATCTTCTTCTAATAAATTGATACTTTTATACAGCGAGGGTGCATTAAATTGATCAAAAGTGACAGTAAGGGGATTTCTATTTCAAATAAATGCTGTTCTTTTGAACGTTCTATTCATCTGTGAATCCTGAAAAATAAAATGCATCATGCTTTCCACAAAAATATTAATCAGCACAACTGTTTTCAACATTGATTATAATCAGAAATGTTTCTGGAGCAGCATATTAGAATGATTTCTGAAGATCATGTGACACTGAAGACTGGAGTAATGATGCTGAAAATTCAGCTTTGGTCACAGAAATAAATTACAGTTTAACAGATATTCACATAGAAAACAGCTGTTTTACACTATAATAATATTTACTGTTTTACTGTATTTTTGAATAAATAAATGCAGTCTTGGAAACCTCAACATTCACTCCATCTGTATAAATATTAAGCACAGATCATTTTATTCTTGTTGCTGTGTTTTAATTCAATATTTGATTTTTGTGCATTTTTGAGGTGGCAGATGCTTTGGCAAGTTTTATGATCAGACACAAATTTGCCGAAGCTCGCAGTGAAACTAAAAGGTGAGTTACTAACGAATTAACAACTCTCTTTATCTAAAACTATTTTTAAATGTTGTTGTGTGTGTGTGTGTGTGTGTGTGTGTGTGTGTGTGTGTATATATATATATATATATATCTCCCTCCAGGTTTTATATATACATATATGCAATACATTTTATATCAAATGCATTAAAAGATACAAAGAAACATGTTCTGCTGAAGTTTGAGCATATTAATCATTACAGAAACTGCATGTCATTCTCTCTCTCTCAGTTCCTCGTACCCGTTCATGCGGTGAAATGAGAGTGTTACATTATCGTTTCTGTAAATGATTCTTTTCTGTCATTTGTTTGTACTGCAACTCTTTCTATCCCGTCTGTGTTCATACATGCAAATCTGAGCTAAAAGTCTAATGTTTTGTCCCTCAGATAAAGCAGAGGACACTGAGAAGCAGGCCTGAAACCTCCACCAGATCCAACATCCTTCACATCCAGCAAAAACATCTTACTTTAGCCATAAATCCAGGAATTGTTTCAACTGTCACTATCCTTGAGTTTAGAATAAAGATTTGAATGTTCATTATTCAACTGTGTCGGAATTTCAGGAAACATTTAAATATTTAAATGAGATGGAATCATGTGACATCATCAAAGTCAAGAGACATAAAACACTGTGTAAATGAGAAGCACGATGTTTAGCCCCAAAAATTTACATTAAAATTTATTAATATTCAAAACAGTCTGACTGAAACACGTGCAAAATACTGAGCATGAAATGGAACAAACCTCTACTGTCTGTCTGTGTGTGTGTGTGTGTGTGTGTGTTTCCTTCAGCGTGTAGGTAATACGGTGAGGTGAACTGCACGTGTGTTTGTGTGTGAATATACAAACTTGTGACTGAACTTCGAATCTCAAAACGAAATCCAACCTCTAAATACATAAAGTGCATCATGGAAAAACTTGGCAATTAAGGAGGAAACTGGACAAAATTATTCTCTATTTACAATACAGTCAAACAAGGAAGAACGAGTTACAGATTTAAAGGAACAGTGCACCTGAAAATGATCATTTACTCACCCTCATGTCATTCCATGATTTTGATTTGACAAAGAACATCTGAAACTGTTTGAATATAGTGCACAAGTGATTCTGGAGTTTTACAGAAATGAAGAAATAATAATACAGAGATTTGGAATGACCCGAGGGTGAATAAACAGTAACAGAACTATTACTTATGAGGTGAACTATACCTTTAAAGAAATAGTTCACCCAAAAATTAATGTTTGCTGAATATTACTCACCCTCAGGCCATGAAAGATTAGGATGAGTTTGTTTCTTCATCAGATTTGGAGAAATGTAGCATTGCATCACTTGCTCAGCAATGGATGCTCTGCAGTGAATGGGTGCCGTCAGAATGAGAGTCCAAACAGCTGATAAAAACATCACAATAATCCACAAGTAATCCACAGCACTCCAGTCCATCAGTTAACATCTGGAGAAGACAAAAGCTGAAACAAATCAATCAAGACATTTTTAACTTCAGACCTCTGCTTGCCGCTAAAATATGAGTCCATAATCCATAATAACACTTCCTCCAGTGAAAAAGTGCATCTCCTGTTGTCTCTCACATCAAAATCCAGCCACATGTTTGTTTAGAGCTGTTTAAACGCTGCTTTCCCTCCTGATTCACACCAGAACACTTTTTCACTGGAGGTGAAAGTGTTATGGATTATGGATTATTATAAACATCTTAATGCTGGATTTGTTTCAGCTTTTGTCTTCTCCAGACATTAACTGATGGACTGGAGTGCTGTGGATTACTTGTGGATTATTGTGATGTTTTTATCAGACTCTCATTCTGACGGCACCCATTCACTACAGAGCATCCATTGCTGAGACACTGATGCTTTTTGATGATGATTGAATTAATGATTCTTTTTCTCAAATCTTGGATGGCCTGAGGGTGAAGACACTGTCAGTAAACTTTTATGTTTGGGCAACTATCCCTTTAAATGATTTCCACTAAAATCTCAAGTGGACAGGGCACGTGGCATGCACAGCAAACATCACATGTCCTGCTCCACAGAATCCAAAGAGCACTTCCTAGAAAGTCCCACAGTTTTGTCCCGCACGACGTCCGTCACACACTCCAGGTCTGGCGTCTTTGGATGAGGAAGGTGTCTAAATACTGAGATTCTCTTTTGTTTTTTTAATACTGCAGAATTCGAGCACATCAAATGCTTCTCTATAGAAAAATAAACCACTTCTGATCAGATTCAAAATAGTCTTTGACACGTTCTTTCCGCTGGGATCACAGACAAATGGTAAAACGGGCAGCGAACACTGCGGCGGTAAGACAGAGAAGATTGTCGAGCAGAGCAGAACCGATCGTCTGCTGATACCGAACAAGTGCTTTAGCTCAAGTGCATACTGTAGTGTGCACTGCGGGCGAGAGAACAGAGTTTACCCTGCTTTTCAGAGAAAAAGGAAGGAAGATGAAATGAATGTAACATCGGATGTGGATTGTAGTATGTACTCGGCAGGCAGTGTGTCGGTCAATCACTGGCCATTCAAAGCCCATTCAACTCGTCTAATGCCGTCGCCGTGGTCACCCAAACATTTGAGCACGAGTGGGCGTGGCCAGATCAGCACTTTGGATCATCAGTGGGCGTGTCCATGTCCGAATGCCCCGCCCCCATCACAAGCGACACCTCTGAACTGCCGCTGGCTATTGGCTGTAACTCACCTGTGGAGGAAAGACAGTCATAATGATATTCATCGCGGCTGTGTCCTAACTGGCACGCTGTCCTTACTAAACAGCATGCAAGATGAGAAAAAGCACAAGTTGCAAAGCATATGAAAATTGCACTTGTAGTGTACTTCAAATCTTACATTTTAAAAAATCTGTACTTGCAGATTATATAATATTGATGAAATAAAAGGCCACTTTCATAAGTACACTTCTAAAAAGTGTACCTTTTAATAATGTTGAATTAAAAGAGTACATTTTAAAATATTGTTCTAAAAATATTCTGTTGTGCTCTAAAAAGTACACTTATTTTGATGTTGCACATACTGATGCAGATGTAAAATATGTGATATTAATTTTAACGAGTGTTATTCTATATTACATTTAAAGTTAATACATTTTAAATGTACTAAATTACAACTTAATTGTAATTACAAAGTGTTATTTTAGTATCAATTAGATACTGTTATAGTTTTCTATTAACAGTTTAAATTAATATATTTTAATATTTTATGTTTTTATTTTAATTTGTTAAAGTTTTAGTAATTTTTTTGGTCATTTTTTGTTTATAAACACACACATATAAATATATATATATACTTTTTTTTTTTTTTTTTTAAGTTTTTAGTTATTTTGTACATTAAGTTAAAAATTAATGAAAATGAGAATTTTTCCTTGGGAAGAGAAACTAGCAGAATTAAAATATGGTTAAACATTTATTTATTTATTTTTTTCAATTAACGTTTATTTTATTTCTAATAACAAAAATGTTTTTTGATTGTTTTAGTTTTAGTTAACTATAATAATTCTGTTACATTTAAATATATACAAGTTTCAAAAGAAATTAAACATTACATAATAACATAACATAATAACATTAACATTCAAATATATTTTGGTTTACCATAAATGTTTGTCAGTATATTCTTCAGTACACATTATGCATATTTCAAAAACCATATAAGTTATGAAATTACATAGAAAGATCACTAAAGTTCAACTAACTGCATTTAACATACATTTAAATTATAATACATTTTCAATTAATGGCAATTAACATGCAATTAAGTGTAAAAAAATTAAATTGAGTTTGCGCTTAAAGTTTATTATTTCTGTAATGCATACTATTGTACTTTTCATTCACAAGGCTGCCTGAATGGTTTACATCTTTTGGGCTATTATTAAATACGCGCTATTATTTGTAAGTCGCTTTTGATAAAAGCATCTGCTAAATGCTTAAATGTAAGTAATTACCCACAATGCCTAGCACTACAGAAGAGGAGGACTTTGTGAGCTCTGTGAGGAGATCAGTGACACTCACTCTGTTCGGTTGGCAAGGTGTCCTGGGACAGTGGCTCAGAGTCCAGGAGGACCTGAGGGAGACCCACCATCCTCACACCGGGGCCACGCCCCCCGACGACATCACCGCCCATGACATCATCGCTCATCACCATGGCGTTGAGAGCCACGCCCCCCACGGCGAGCTCGTAGTCCAGAGGAAGTTCATTCAGACACTCGGCACTCGACTGCGCGCGGACAGAATTACACCGCATTCAAACAACAGAGTTAAACGCCATAGAATTACCCAATAAGCTGTGCATTTCAGTGACTTTACCATGCTTAAAGACAGGATTATTACAATTAAGCATTAAACTAAACTACTAAAAACATAAAATAAACTTTCATAACTTGAAAATGAACTTATTGTATTTTAGCTAGTTACCAAGGCAACATTTTATTTTCATTTAGTTTAACTTAATTATATATCAATAAAAACTAAACATATAATATTTATATATATATATATATATATATCTCAATCAAAAAATTACGAAAACACAACAAAAGTACTAACACTTTAACTTCAATTAAAATGAAAACAAGGCATCATTTTTCATTTAGTCTAACTCCATGTATTAGCATAACTAAAACTGAAATAAAAATGTGTTAATTACAGATATATATTTTTTTTAAAACTAATAAAAATGTAAAAATCACAACAAAATTCTCTAAAATATAAACAGTATAAATATAAAAAGAATTCAAAATATTAAAAAATATTTATAGCATCAGTGATACTAAAATAACACTCATTAAGGCACAATATGACGTTTTAAGAACTAAATAAAATAATAAAATAAAAAAATAATAATCCAATGGAAATAATTTAAAACTAAAAATTAAAAAAAAGTATACATTTGTCAAAAATACTAATAAAAATGACAAAAACACAAAATGTCTAAAACTTTTTAAAATTCAAATGAAAACATAAAACAGATAAAAAATAATTAAAAATATTAATGTTAAAAGAACAAAATAAAATAGAAAATAAAAATAAAAAATAATGAATCTTCTGGAAATAATTTCATGTATTAATTTATTACTGTAATTAATAATAATTACATAACATTTCTTCTTATTATTATTATTAATAATAATGATAATGATAATAATAATAATAATAAAGTTAATTTATTCAGACTGTTATTCAGCTGTATTCATTACGCTGATTCTGTCTGAAGCTTCATGTTAAAGGGGTCATAGGATGCTACATGCACTTTTACAAGTTGTTTGAACTGAAATGTGTGTTGGCAGTGCATGTACACAACCACCCTATAATGCTAAAAATCCACCCAGTTTCTCTTTCAACTCAAGGAGGACTAAACATGCACAAACAGCACACGACCTCTGTACAGCGACGAGGGAGAGAGAGAGAGAAACACCAACCGTGAGGCCGAGAGCTTTGAGGATGTTCATCTTACACATGGGACACGTGCGATGGTCCACCAACCACGGGTCGACACAGCCCTTATGAAACAGATGCCTGCGAGAAGCAGAAAGTGAAGTGCGTTGATCAGTCTAATACTCGCTCATGTTGTTTGCGAATCTGTTTTCAGTTGAACGCTTCCAATGAACTGATATAAAAAGACCTGTACACCATTGTACATCCTCTTTTTGCAGCAAAAAAAGTGTTTAGCAACTTTGTTATATAAAAATTTATTTTGTTGTTTTTTGTGATTATGTGTAATTATTAAGATTGTTAAATGCTGCTTATTTAAATTAGCAATGTAATATATCCATTCAAAAGTTTGAGGTCAGTGATTTTTTTTTTTTTATTAAAAATTAATTTGTTCCACAAGGATGCATTAAATTGATCAAAAGTGCCAGTAAAGACGTTTCTAATGTTACAAAAGATTTCTATTTCAAATAAATGCTGTTCTTTTGAACTTTCTATTAATCTGTGAATCCTGAAAAATAAAATGCATCACAGTTTCCACAAAAATATTGGGCAGCACGACTGTTTTCAACATTGATAATAATCAGAAATGTTTCTTGAGCAGCAGATCAGAATATTAGAATGATTTCTGAAGATCATGTGACGCTGAAGACTGGAGTAATGATGCTGAAAATACAGCTTTGATCACAGAAATAAATTACATTTTACAATATATTCACATAGAAAACAGTTATTTGAAATTGTAATAATATTTCACAATTTTACTGATTTTACAGTTTTTTTAATCAAATAAATGCAGCCTTATCTAACGATTTTAACAATTAAAAAAATATACAATATATAAATGAATGATAAAATATATGCATATATATATATATTACTGTATTACTATTGAAATAACCGTATTAATGTAGCTAGCTACATCTTGTTAGTAGCATCAGGTGAGTGTTTACCTGCAAGGTAAGATTCTCACAACATCATTTGGTTTATAACCCTCGATACACACGGCACAGTTATCAAAATCATTCTCCGTCTCCTAAAGAAAAGCACACACATCATAAGACACAACAGAGAGTGTTGAATTCAATCTCACTGCTTTAAAGACTGCAATATTGAGTGTTTATTGGTTCACCTGATCGCCTTTCCTGATGGTCCGCACTTGTAACTGGCTGATGGCTTTTTTGGCAGCGTCGCCCAGCCTCCTCTGACCAATCAGAGAACAGAACGTTATTAATGAACGCATTTCTCCTTCGACTTCAGACTGTGATGTCCTACAGTACATCTGTCTCTCGTTAGAATAATTAAAGACTGAGAGCTGTAATGAAAGCTCTGTTGCCTTCAGGCATGTGATGAAAGTCACTTACTGTGGCCTGTTATCATGTTTTAGGGTCGCGTTCAAACACACACAAACATGCAAACCACCAAAAACAAGCAACAGTGGCGAAAGAAAGTGGTTTGATCTCACGGCTGAACAACTGTTTTTTTTCTAAGATTAAAATACTTTTTTTTTTTTGGCTGTGCTTGTTTGTAGGGCTACACAATTTGGCCGTTTTGTTTTGTTTTTTTGCAATTTTATAATCAATGTGGCTATTAAATTTAATTTGATTATTTTGTATTATTTGTATAAATAATAATAATACAAATATAAATACTACTAAACTTTGAATTATTATTAATGTAATATTCCACTGTGCAATAAAAAATGTAGTATTTAAGAAAAAAGAATATAATTACACTAATAATAATTCTATTATTATATATGTAATTCTATATATGTAAGAAAACATAATAAAATAATTAATAATAATTTTATTTTTTATTTGTATTGTTTTTGTATAAACAATAATAATAATACATTTCTACAATTTGAAATATTAATGTAATATTTCACTGTACAATAAAAAATGTTGTATTTAAAATATAATATTATTAATATTTTTTAATTATTATGTTATTATTATTATTATAAACAATAACAAATACTTAAATATATAAATATTATTATATAAAAACTAAATAAGAAATATTATTAATGTAATATTTCAGTGTAAACAAAAAAATGTATTCAAGAAAAAATATAATAAGAATTATTATTTTCTGTAAAATTACAATATTAATATTTATGGTCATCTCAAATCGCACTAAGCCATTACATGATTTCGATTTTATTTAGATTAATCACTCAGCCTTATTTGATCTTCACATAAATGATCATTCCGATCAAAATTGATTGAGCAAAATTGTGTGTCTAACATATACAGTGGCTGCAAAACGCATTTAAGCATTTCATAAGACGAGGTTTCTCGGGTTTGTACCTGGTTGCGGTCCCTGGCGTTGGCGTATCTGAAGCGTTGGATGTAGTAAAAGACGAGCCAGGCCAGCGAGATGATCATGAGGATGATGAAGGAGATGGAGACGAAGACCACGGAGGTGCGGCTGACGTATTTCTGCAGGTTGCGTGTTCCTACGGTGATGTGCATGTGAACGGAGATGTTCCTCTCCATCAGAAGAACCAGATCACGACCCTTCGGCTCCGGAATCATGATGGCCACCACGTCACCGGTGCCTGAAACACAGAGCCACAGTTAACCAGCGCCTCGACTAGACTAACTCACTTCCTCTGTGGGAAAAATAAACTAGACAAATTCAAATTAAATGGGGAAAAAAATTTATGTGTGGAAAAAAATTACAGAATTTGAAAAAAAAAAATAAAAATGGGAAAAAAATCTAATGGATTTCATAGGTCTTAAAAAATTTAAACTTTGTTAAACTTTTTAATAATTTTTTTGTTAAACTGAATAAGTTTCATGATTTTAATTAATCAGGCATTCTTTCTGATTTTTATGATTTAATCTAACCATTTAAACGTAATCCAGAACATTTAAATCGAAAAAAAAAAAAATACAGGAAAAAGTCCAATTAAATTGGAAATAAATAATAATAAAATGGGGGGGGGGGGGAATTTGGGGAAAAAAATTACAAAATTTGAAGAAAAAAATAAAATGGATTTCATATGTCTTAAAAAATTCATTTTGTTAAACTTTTAATACATTGTTGTTAAACTGAATAAGTTTCATGATTTAAATTAGACATTCTCTCTGATTATTATGATTTAATCGAACCATTTAAATCAGAAAAAATAATCTAGAAAAATGAAAATGAAAATGAAAAAAAAAAACGAATTTGGGGGAAAAAATCTAACGGATTTTATAAGACCATATATGCGATTTTTGTTAAACTTTAATAAATTGTTGTTAAATTGTATAAGTATCATGATTAATTAATTAGACATGCTTTTTGGTTACTAAAATTGAATGTAAACATTAAAACAGAATCCAGAAATTTTTAAAATGGGAAAAAAATGGAATCCAGAAAAAGTATATAATTTGGGAAAAAATACAACAGAGTTTGGGGGGGGATTTCATAGGACCCTAAAAACAGCACAGTGAAAAGCTTTAACATCAGACGGAGAACCTCCTCAGCCCAAACGAAACACAAAGTTCAAAGAAAGAGTTAAAGATAACAAGAAAAACAACAAGGGGGAGAAATGCAGATACTGACGTAGAAAAAAAGAGAGGAACTAAACAAGCAGCATTTCTGCAACACTTCACAGGGAGATAGAGAAAGATAAGAGGCGTCAGATGAAACTTCTGAGACTTTTCTGAGACGCGGAACGAGCAGAACGCTGAAGTGACCGCTCCAGTCGAGCCTGAACACCAACATCACGTCTAAAGATTCTCTCATGACTTCCAGATGTGAGAGAACACACAAACACGCGTTCAAACACTTTATAGAGAAGTCAGAAATACCCACAAAAACACTAAAGCATGTGACAATTTACATTACAGTGCCCAAGGTACAAGAACGAATTACTATTTTCGGGGCCTGAATTGCAGTGAATGGGTGCCGTCAGAATGAGAGTCCAGTCAGCTGATAAAAACATCACAATAATCCACAAGCAATCCACACCACCGAGTAAAGTTTCAGCAAATTTTAATTTTGGGGTGAAATATTCCTTTAAACCATCACAGATTTAGCAAAACACAATCAAACGTGCAAGATATCCATTCACCATCACTCATAACCTAATATGCATTTACAATAACACATCATGCACTCATTATAACTAATAACAATATATAAACTCATAAAACACATATGCATTCACATTCAGCCAGACACATTTCTAAATATGCAATAATGCATTTATCACACATAACCACACATGCATTTATTACCATCAGCCATCACTCATAACCGTACATATATATGGACTTACAATAACACATAACCAAACATGCATATCTAGTTGACAGATGATGAATGCATGCATCACAACACATATGCATTGACCATCACATTTAGCCAGACATGCATTTGCCATCACTCCATAACCAAATATGGATTTGCAATCACACATAACCTGTCACGCAGACATAATCGATCATAACCAAGCATGCACCACCTGAATCAGACATGGTGATGGTCTCATTGGGGTTGGAGGATCCCACGTTGAATATGACCACAGCGGACGCATTTTTTCCCAAGGCGTTTCGGATCTTGTCTCTGTACGTGCAGTTTCCCCGGCTGATGAGCGCGATCCACGCGCCGTGTCCGCGCGGCGTGAACCTGCAGCTGGGGTCGCACGCGTGTCTGTCCTGCGGCGCGGCGGGCATCGCCAGCACGCCTCTGGCCTCGCGCTTGAGCGAGTGCTCCCCGTAACGCCCGCACTCCGTCTTCTCGGTGCGGACCTCGGCCGTGTCCGGATCCATGTACGTGATGTTGACGAACGCCGTGTACCATTCCTCCTTCTCCGCCACCGTGAAGTCCAAACACAGCAGATGGACGAAGCAGAAGGACAGCAGCCAGGTGGACAGGGCCAGACTACGACACGTCTGGATCACCGAGAGTGCCATAGCAGTGTAATTGTTATTATTATGGTGAGTCTAGCGGCCGTGCGACGCGCGTTTACTCCATAATATCCGCCTTTGTGCGTGTCGAGCGCGTTACGCGGCGCAATCGCCGACACTCATGGTCAAAACACTCAACTTGAAAGACCGAGTTTTGTGATTAATAACCTCTAGAGCCTGTTGCCTGTGCGAGAGGCGCGTTGGTTCGGTAAAAACGCGAGCAGAAGCTGCGCGACAGAGCCATGGTGTCTGATATTTTCGGCCTTCGGCTGCTGTGGCAAAAACGGAGCACGAAACAGCGGCCACTAGCGGCGGAGCGATGATCTGCGCATGCGCGACACCCTTAAAGGGATAGTTCACCCAAAAATGAAAATTACCCCATGATTTACTCACCCTCAAGCCATCCTAGGTGTATACGACTTTCTTCTTTCAGACGAAACCAATCGGAATTATATTAAAAAATGTCCTGGCTCTTCCAAGCTTTATAATGGCAGTGAATGGGTGTTATTTTTCAATAGTCCAAAAGACGTCAAATAAAGTGCCTCCATCCATCATAAAAAGTGTCCCACATGGCTCCAGTGGGTTAATAAAGGCCTCCTGAAGCGAATCGATGCGTTTGTGTAAGAAAAACATCCATATTTAAAACTATATAAACAGTAATCTCAGTAACTGTCGTACGCGCGTTCACAATAACACTGTTACAGCGGATGACGTAGGCCGTAGCGTAAGGTCCAATGAGAAGTGACGAATGCGGAAGTGCAGTGGAGAGAGCGAAACAAAACACTGGTCATGAATTAGTAGTACAAAACTAGGATTTGTAAAGAAAAATGTCGGAGGATTTCGATATAAGCCAAGAGGAGACTGGTTTTCCTTTGCTAAAGTAAGGAAACTTTGCTCCCTTTGCTCCTGTAAACAAACATTGGTTTTCGCGAGACTAGCATATTCTCACCGAACCTTATGTTACGCCGACGTCCTACGTCATCCGCCGGAACGGCGTTCTATTGAAGACAGTTAGAGGTAGATAGAGATTACTGTTTATAAAATTTTGAATATGGATTTTTTTCTTACAAAAATGCATTGATTCGCTACAGGAGGATTTTATTCACCTCCCCCGGAGCCGTGTGAAACACTTTTTATGATGGATTGATGCGCTTTATTGGACTTCTTTTGGACTATTGAAAAATAACACCCATTCACTGCCATTATAAAGCTTGGAAGAGCCAGGACATTTTTTAATATAATTCCGGCGTCGGAAAATACACGCTTTGTTAGTAAGTGAGATTAATCAAAGCCAATCTATAGGGACTGTCAGAAAACTCAACACAATGTGTCGAAGAGTTGATTCAAAGTTGAAAAGCAACAGTGACGGACTTTTTTATTCAGAGTAGAGACGACATATTTAAGATGTTACGACAGAAAAAGAGTGAAACGCTTAAAAAATAGCCTATGTGTCGAAATAATTTCATAATGAAAAAGGAGCAATGTGAGAAACAAAGCTTTTCAAAACTTTGTTTCGAAAGTTTCGAAGCACTCGATTCACCGCAGCTGGGCAAAATGGTATTTACGAAATGTCGTATGTAACTTTAGAGACGGTCCCTAGATTTGCGAATATCGAGTGCCGGGAAATGACACCTCTGGCCATTCCGTTGGGCCACGCCCCCAGCTATCACAAGACCCGAGCAAGTCCATGGTTGACACCCTCTCATTAGCATGTTGTGCAGAGGAAAAATAAATGCGGAACTACATTCAGAAATAAATGAGTGATCAAAGGAAAATAAATAGGATGAGTTTAGCATTTCCTTAAACATTTTCCATTTGCCCACCAATT